CAGGGAGGAAGAAGGGAGGAAGAGGGACCAAAGAGAGGCCTCCCCCTGTTTAAAAGCACGTTGATTTCGTGTGAACCCTTGATGATTCGCCCGATGTTCCTAAGAGTAATCCTCCCCTTCTCCTCTTCAAGCCTCCTCGTCTCTCCCTTCCTTTTCATCTCCACTCCTCCCTCCCCCTTGCCCCCATTCCGTCTTCCCCTCCCCTCCTCCTTGGTTTCCTGCCGCTCTTCTCCCTTCTCATCCCCTTCTCCCCCCTTTTCTCACCCTCCCCTCCTTCCCTCCCTCCTCATCCTTCCCCCTTCTCATCATCGCTCTCCCTTGTTCGTCCTCCCTCCTGTCCCTCCCCTTCCTCCCCCTGTCCGTACTCCCACTCCCCACCCTCCTGGCCCGTCCTCCCTCCCGTCCCTCTTCATTCCTTCTCATCTTCCACCTCCCCCATGATTCCCTCCTCCCTCATCTCGCCCATCCTCCCCCCCCCCACTTCCTTCCTCGCCACTCATACTTCCCGTCCACCATCCTCCTCATCCTCCTCCTCCGTACCGCCCATCATCCATCCCCTCTCTCGCTGCTCGTTCCCCCCTCGCCCCCCCCCCTCCAGCTCCCACCCTTCTCACCACGCATCCCCCGCATCCCAAGCCCGCGAGGAGTTCGCTTTTCGGGAAAAGGGGGAATGGTCTCTGGGCATAGGGGTGGTTCTTCGGGTGGACTTATGGTTTGTCATAGATGTCTGTTGTTTCTGTGCTAATGATTAGCTTTGCGGGTGGAACCCATTAAGGCGCCGCAGTGGGTGTCGCACCACCGTAGCCCTGATTGCCGTGAGAACCACCATACGGTGGTGGCGTTCCTGAAGGGGTATGCCCAAAAGGCTTCAGACATTGGTGGAGGATCCCTTATCTGACGAGGGCGGCTGTGATATCTATGGCCAAGCCTCAATTGGTATCCCTCGACTTCCCGAACCTGGATTCCTTGAGTTCTCACTGAAGGTTGCCTTATTCAATGCTCCGGGCCTCCCAAATGTGGCCGAAATCCATGGGAACGGAGGATCGTGCCGCATCGCCGATGCGGCACGATGTGCAGCCCGATGTTCTCCACCTTGGTGTCGCCGATGCATCGGCGATGTACCGCCGACGCATCGGCGTTGCGGTGCGATCCTCCAACCCGATTTGGGAGGCCTCCAGTAGCTCCCCGCACCGCGCTGGACCAAAGCAGCGGGCGTGGAAGATCCGAGGCGCTGCGGTAGCACATCCTACTTTCACACGCATGTGCTACTCTTCTTTGCCAATGCGCCGTCTAGGCGCGGCTTTCTCACTCAGTAGCTCCCCACACCTCCAGCCGGCAGGAGACCCTCCACCTGGGCCCCAAGCGCCGCGTTGCGCTGCCAGCGGGCGAGCCCGAGGCCGCCGGCTCGGCGCAGGCGCCCGCCGCGGCCGCGGAGCCCTCCCGTCCGCCGCCGCCGCCGCCGAGCCGTCGTCCCCACGGCCGCTGACGACGGCAGCGGCCGCGGAGCCCTCCTTCTCGAGCGTCGCCGCCGCCGTTGCCGTCGTCCCCGCGGCTGCGGCCGCGAAAGATGTCGGCGGCGGGGGCGACGGGGATTCTCACACGCACATCCTCCTCTTCCGTCTCCTCCTCATCCGCCTCCTCCTCCTCCGCCTCCGCCTCCTCCTCCTCGTCCTCCTTGTCCTCGTCCTCCTCCTTCTCCTCCTCCTCGCCCTCGCTGTCCTCCTCCTCCTCCACCTCCACCTCCACCTCCTCCTCCTCCTCCTCCTCCTCCTCCTCCTCCTCCTCCTCCTCCTCCTCCTCCTCCTCCTCCTCCTCCTCCTCCTCCTCCTCCTCCTATTCTTGCCCCGCCCCGAATGTTCCTCCTCCCCCCTCTCCTGCGTCGAGGGTCGCAGGGAGGAGCTGGAGACGGGAAGGAGACGCTCAGCTTTACCGTCGCTTCAGCTCTTTCACCTTCACCTCCCTTATTTTTGCCTCGGTTCCACTGTCCCCGGCCTCCGCTACCAGTCTTCAATCCCCCCCCCTCCATCCCCACCTTCTTTTTTTCTCTCTCTCTCTCTCTCTCTCTCTCTCTCTCCTATGACGATGACTTTGACTACTTCACTGGGCTGTAGTCTGAGCACACAACGGCCATGGACAGAGCAAACAGGATGAAAAGGGACAGGGGGGGAGGGAACAAGAGAGACATGGATGGTGTGAGCACAATAGAATTACACGTGCACGCAAATTCGGCCCAGGCTATATACATACATGCACAACAACGAGACGCACTCATCCTGCCTCCGGAGACGGGTGGCCGCCAAGAGCCGGAATCACTCGCACCCCGCCAGCGAGCATATGTGACTGTAAACATCGATGAGCCCATGCAGGATGGGGGGAGGACGAGGAGAGCACCACAGCAGAAGTTATGAATTGGGAGCCCATTTCGCTTTGGCACTAGAGAGAGCACGAGGCACACAAGAGAGATGCGGATGCTTCATCAATAATCTGGACACAGCAACGTCGAGAGCTTTCCAAGGATACTCAAGGCACCTCAGTTCAAGGAAGAGGGAAGCAATCGAGCACTCGGGGTCGATGGCCAGACACCGGTCCACGCATTGAGTGATCAACCCAATCACGCTGCCAATTTTCTCCTGGAGAGACGGTTCGCATGCCAAGCCTGGTACCGAGGGAATGGCAGGGTGAGGTTGTCAGCAACAAGGAAATCAACGTTCCTGATATGGGGGCGCAATTGATGCACGACCCAAGCAAAACATCAAAACCAACAAATACAGCCGGGTCCTCAACTTTCAAATTAAAAACAAACATGAGAAGTTTTCCGACGTAAGCGGGAGTGTACGGCTCCGGTGTATGCTGAGCTGAACTGGTCGACGAAACCGTCAGAAGCAGACAAGATTGCTTTCATTTCGTCTTCATCACAGCCGCACTTGCTCCAGAAAGATAACACACCGAATATGTCATCCGTCCAACGGCAAATAACGCAATTTACGTGCTGAACATGAGGGAGACTCAGCGTCGCAGGGAGAAGGCGCTGCTTCCTCTCAAGGTAACAGCAAACAGCGCTACACACTCCAGGAGAAAGATTACTTCCCTGGGTCATGCCAACCCCTGGAGCGAACAAATCATTGCCAAAATGAAGAAAACCGAAAACGAATCGGACGAAACGACGCGACAATTATGAGGAACCGGAAACACACGATCACCAGACGACAAATTACGAAAATGACCACGGAAACTCCTGGAGAAACACATGGGGCTCTCGCGATAACAATTAGCCGGTTTCTTGCAGCGAGGGATCTTAATGTACTTTCGCCGGGTACCGTGTTTCTCGTACCACGCAGCAACGAGCCAATCCAAAGCTTTCGAGATGAGAGCATGCGGAACATTGTTGAAGAAGTTCTCTATGTCACGCTTGAACGACACCATCGAAGGTGTGTACCCGCGACTTGTCCACACCTGGCAATCAACATTGAAAGAATGGAAACGAGACACAACAGAGGAAGCAGAAGACACAGAGAGAGAATGGGGACGGGTGGAAACAAGCATGAGATTGATAGCACGACAGCAAAGAGAAAACAAATCCCTCAGACAATGCTTCGAATAGGAGCCAAGAGGCCGAGATTTGAAGGCAAGGTTCGATATCTTCGGCCAGCAGTCAACTCCACCGAACACATGGCTATGCGTCGGCCTCACAGGGACGCCTGTGTAGCTACAGTGAACCTGAAGCTCCTCAAACGCAGCGTGGATCTTTGGCCACCGAGGGATCTCTTGTACTCGCCAAGAGTCACAACGTATGCACTCCCGGGTGCGGCTCTGCCAACTCCGCAGAAATAATAGCAACCGTGCTTTCGTGCTTGTCAACAGGCGCAACCACGGCGATGTCAAACAATGCACGACGCCACCGTTGCACATCGCTCTGAGCAACACCAAAACCACGAAAATGGTTGTGACGATGGTATTCAGCAGCCGTGTACACATGCAAGTCACTAAGATCAAGGCAAGCATGCGGGACGACACGGCAGCACGAGGAGGCAACGTGATCCGCTATGGTTTCCAACTGCTGGGTCAAAGCATGGTGAGACCACACGCATGACCCTTCATAACGGAAACTCCTGGGAAGACAACCGGACAGAGCGGAATCAGAAGCAAGACAGCAAACGTGACCATTGTCAGACACACCAACACACAACATGTTCTGCAACACAACACACGTGCACGGAAACTCGTACCGATCCTACTTGCGAGCCCAATGCTTGGAGTTTACCAACATCAGTTTAGGGCTGGGGGCCGAACGCCGCTTCACCTGGAGGGTCAGAGACGTCCTGGCCACTATTTGGGCAGTCATTTGTTGGTTAATCTCTTTAAGCAGGAGAGAGCGGAGAGGAAGGAGGGGAATAGTAGGAACACGAATTAGCAGCGAGACATGATTGCGTGAAAACGATTTGTCTAGAACCTGAAAGCACCGATGACGAGCGATACTTAAACTGTTGCCACACAATAGACGGGGGAGGCGATCAAGGAGGCGGGGGAGTAACTGTGGCTTATGGTTGCATACTCATTTTAAAATCTTCTCTGAAAAACTACACTCGGGGCCCTGAAGAAGGAACCCTTTTCGTTGGGGAGGGGCTCCACGTTCCTTCAGTGTTTCGCAGCTTGCCTCAGGTTTTCCTTAGGTCTTCGATCGGAAATCTAAGTTCAACTCATGGAAAAAAGGGGCCGCGTTCCTTATTTAGGGTTCCTTAGGACAACGCCTCGACTGTACCCTTCTTTCGAATCTCTCCGAGCCTCAACGCCAAGGCTGACAAGCTATGTGATTGCAATGATTACGTCGCGGAGATACCTTCTTCCGCCCACGTGTCGCTGTGATGAGTTCGACAACCACGGAAATAGCCGGCAGGATTCGCAAACTTGACAATACGAGGCTTGGAAGTGGCAGTCGCGGGTTTCACGACATGGCCAGAATCCGTTGCGTGCTCGTACGCAGTGCGAACATGCATCCGCACAAATGGGACATTCAATTGGGGTCTGTACAATGGAATGCATTGCTTTTCTAAAAATCGCATATCGGAATCATTAGAACGAGATAGGAAAAGCAGAGGAACCTGAATAATCTTACCTACGCCGACGGACCTGATTTTAAAATAGGCGGGAATCTGGGCATTAGCACGACGACGCAACAAATTATTATCATGTTCGGCAGTACGCGTCTCGATGCCACGGATGCTTTCTCCCACGTACGACAGATTGCAATCAAGAGACACCCACATGTACACAACATTGTTTGTCGCCTCAGTGGACACTCTGTCTGCTTCGACAAACTGGGCAGACTGTGCGAGAAATCTCAACAGCTTCGTGTGAGACCGGAACGATGAACAACCGAGGAAATTAAAGAGAAGGATGGAGCGAAGGAAATTGAGGACAGCGAGAGCAGAGGACAAATGAGAAAGGACAAGGGGAGCGTGCCTGATGGAAGAGCAAACCTTTAATTCCAATATGTGTGAGACAAGATCAGACGACGAGTGCCAGAGGATTCTGTACGCTCGTTGCTGACTATACCGATTGCGCGTGCCATGTGTGATGTTAGCAAGCATGACACCAAAATTACGCACAGCATACACGAGGCTATCTACTTGGACAGTGGATGAAGCAAGAGGGGCCCGGACAGCCAGCATGCCTGGGAGGGCAAATTTGTCTTGCGAATCCGTCCATGAGACAACAGAGAACCGAGAGCAAATGCATTCATGCTGAGAACTGGCGAAGCAACAACACGAATCACAATTCAAGCGCAATCGATTAAAGTGCATGGATACACGGCTACGCGCGCGCATTCACCTGCCAGCGCTCTGGAGCAAGTTGGAATACATTCAGTCTGTCTCACCTGCGGGGCCGCTCAGACAAGATTCTCGACCACTCCTGGGACGCAGACGCCGAAGCCGGACCGGAATCACCGGCACGCTGACGACGACGACGGCGTGGATTGGGGGTGCTGATCATGTGCACAGCTGCGCCCTGCTGGTTTTTCACAAGCATGTTCTCGCAGACATCTGACCACGAGTGATGCAAAATCTCAGACTGATCATCCCATTTGATCTTGATTGTGAACTCACCCTCATGCACGTCGACACCAGTCACGGAACCAGACACAGAATGATCACCGACAATCTTGCTGACAGAGAAACCGAGAACATCGCGAGGCTCAGCCTTTGGGGTCAAAGGCGGCGACGGATCGTAATAGTCATCGTGTCCGCTATCGCGGAACAGCTCGCGCCTGGCATTGTCCTCCGGGCGGCGGTCACGACGATGATCCTCAGGGTGGCGACCACGATGCATCTGCCAGAATCTGTCGTCACTCCTCTTCCGCTACAGGTACTGCACAGCACCTTCTCGGGTCGGGATGTCGAGCTCCTCCACTACTGCCCGGACTCCAACAACAAACTTGTTCCATTTGCTGTCATCAATACCAAGGGGCAAAATGGCGTAATCTCATCAGCACGATTCTTGGTCACATCCCACTCCTCGTGAGCGCGGACAAACATCGGGACGCAACGCTCTTTGCGCATGATCTCCTTGAGACCCGGGGCGTTGGTCGCGATGGCAACCACCTCGAACCGCTCGGGGTCATCATCGTGCAGGGGGAGGAACCTCCCGTGGCTGTCGGTGTCTGTGTCGCGCATGTCGATCACTTGATTCTCGAAAATCCTCATGGGTCGCGGGCGAGGCACCATCGAGCCGGCAGCACCCATCGGAGTCTGGAAGGGACGAGGCGCACCTGCATTGAACTGTTGTTGTCCGTACGGCATGGGCGGACGAGGCGCGAAGGGATTCATTGCAAAGGATGTAGCAAGTATGTGGAGAATGAGCATACAGTAACGAAATGCAGTGGGATCAATGGATAGGAGCAAGCAAGGCCAGATCACTACCCAACAAACTCTGACGATGATTTTGATTACTTCACTGGGCTGTAGTCTGAGCACACAACGGCCATGGACAGAGCAACCGGCAAGACAGGATGAAAAGGGACAGGGGGGGGGGAGGGAGCAAGAGAGACATGGATGGTGTGAGCACAGAGGAGCTCCGCGTTCCTGGTGAGTCGGGGGCATCTCCCGCAGAGGAGCCGATCTTGAAGCCCGTGTGGAGGTTCCTCAGAATGTTCACGGAGACGCCCCGCTTGCGCTTGTGCGCGTGCCTCTTCACCTTGCACTGCATGCTGGAGGGCAAGGTTCGGAGGTGGATAGACCTCCTACCCTGACACGTCGATTCAGGAATTGGCCGTTCTCGGTTCGCGAGAGGGCGTCGCGGCCGTCATGTTTGCGGGTCCTGGTCCGTCGGCTTCAGCCCCAGGCCGTTTTCACGAAGGTGAGGTTTCCTGAAGGGAGGTTTGTCCACCGCCGAAAGGTGCTGCAGGACCAGGTCTCCATCCTGCAGCTCAAGCTCAGCTGGGACACGGACTGGCGTTCGCGGTGGACCTCGGGCCTGGGCATCGCCATCCTGTCGGGCGGGCAGGTCCGGGGCACGCAGGAGAGGGCGCGCAGCTCCGACCCCCCACCTGGGGCCGCTCCTTCGGGGGAGGGGGTCCTACGGGATATGTGTTTTGTGGGGGGGAGGGGCGAGGAGGAGGAGGAGGAGGAGGAGGAGGAGGCGGAGGAGGGGGCGGAGACGGTGGGGGGGAATGAGGCGGAGGAGGGGGAGAGGGGGATGTAGAGATGGGGATGGAGGAGAACGAGAGGGGGGAGGAGGACGAGCAGGAGAAGCAGCAGGTATAGGAGGAGGTCAGAGGGAGAGGAGGCGGAGGAGGGGGAGGAGGAGGAGGAGGAGGAGGACCAGAGCGAACCCACCACACAGAAACGATGCTGGAATAGGCAGTGAGCCCTTGAATGAATATACAGGAAAGGAGAAAGGGAGAGGGATGGGGAGACGAGAGGCTGTTGGATTGGACTCAGCCTTTAGTGCAAGTCAGCTGCGGGCGGACGCAAGAGTGTTCGACGCGGCGGTCACCATATACGCATGACATTGCCCTGATATTCCCCTCGATCAATACCTGGAGCCTGCAGTCTAAGTACAAGTCAGACCGGATATGTGCAAGTCTGGGCATTGTCGTTTCCCTCTGCTGCCGTATGTTGTTTTCTCCCTGCCGCCGCACGACAACCCACCAGCCGATCCAGACACGATGCTCAGCTCCAAGACGGCTGAAGACCGCTCCGAAACGCCCAAGACGGCCTCAAGACGGCCCAAGAGGCCCCCCAGACGCCCCAAGAAGGCTCCAAGGGTTCCCCCAAGAGAGCCCCAAGCGGCAGAAATAGCACCATCCCCTCGAGAAAACGTACACATGTTTAGCACACTCGCCCTTTTGTTTTTCATTGCGCCCCAGAGGGCCCATCTGGAGAAGCCTCGGAAAGGCCCAAGACGGCTCCGACGAGGCCTCCAAGACGGGCCCAAGACGGGCCCAAGAACCCTTCCATCTTGCGACAAGGTCATCAAAAAACACGTGAAGGACAACGTCCTTGGCGCTCACTCGGCCCCAGAGTCACAAAAGAGGCCTCCAAGAGGTCCCCACGAGACATCCATGAGTGCTCCAAAAGGCTCGAGGAGGCGCCCCAGACTGGTCTGCCGAGATGGTCCACCGTTCTGGTCTGGTTTGCCGTGCTGTCTGCGATGCTGGTCTGCCGTGTTGGTCTGGTTTGACGTGCTGGTCTGGTTTGGTCCGCCGTGCTACGTGAGGGCAGCACGCCACACAGAAAGTCAGCACGACTTACCAGACAGGTGCGGCAGACCAGCACCGCAGACCAGCGGGGCACACCGGCACGGCACATCGATTGCGGCATGGCAGACCAGAGCGGCGGACCCGCACCAATGGGGAGCATCGCATCCCGGCACGGCAGACGAGGGGAAGCGCATCCGCACGCGTCAATCAAGGAACAAGAAATGACAGCTATACATATACATATATATGTATATATGTATACATGTATATATATACACATATATACACATATAGTAGTAGTACTGAGAAAAATAATTTTGAAAATAACCATAATGATAATAAGCATGATGCAAATAAGAACAATAATAATAATCATAATCATAAGCATAGTAGTTGAACTAATAATAATAATATGAATAATAATAATAATAATAATAATAATAGTAATAATTATAGTAATAATAATAGTAATAATAATCGTAATAATAATACTAATAATAAGAATAATAATAATAATAATGATGGTAAAGGAACGAGCAATGCATAAAGGAGGTTCGCGCGGATTTTTCGGATCGGCGCTGGACCCCCCTCCCAGGCGCGCGGAGCGCGCCAGGGGCGGCGCCCGAAGTGCCGCCAGGGGGCCTCGGCGCCCATCCGAGAAATCCGCGCGGACCTCCGGATTGTTGTGTTTAGGTCATTGTTCGTTCCCTTAGTCCGCCGACCGCGTTCCACTACTCGCAGAGTGCCCACTCGCAAACGTCCGAAATATACAAGTCTTCTTCTATGGAATATATCGTAAACCCCCCGTGCGGATCCAGGCAATTTGCGAGTCGCTGATTTGCGAGTAATGGAACGCGCCTGTCCACTAGTCTCAAGTCGGGATTGTCCCTCTACAGGAGGGATGCTTGGAGTATGTGTAAGCATTTGGGGTGTGTGTTTTGATTATTCCCCAAACAGCTTGCTGAACGGGGTGCTGTTGTGATAGAAGCTAACTCCGGCCGAGGGAAGTCGGAGCAGAGACATCTTTACAAAAATTTGATGGTCCGGGCCGTTTCGCTTGAGACATCCTCACAACTCTCGTTTCTGAGTTGGCCGGGATTGGCCGTTTCGCTTGAGACATCCTCGAAAAGTTGCGCTCCGGGACGCCGCGCGAGAGGTGGTCCGGGCCGTTTCGCTTGAGACATCCTCAAAACTCTGAGCCCCGAAGTGCCGGGCGAGAGGTGGTCCGGGCCGTTTCGCCTGAGACATCCTCGAAACTCTGAGCTCTGAGATGCTTTGCGCGAGGTGGTCCGGCCCGTTTCGCTTGAGACATCCTCGAAATTATGACCTCGGAGATGCCGCGCGAGAGGTGGTCCGGCCCGTTTCGCCTGAGACATCCTCAAATTTCTGAGCTCTGAGATGCCCTGCGCGAGGTGGTCCGGCCCGTCTCGCCTGAGACATCCTCGCGTCTCTGAGCTCTGAGATGCCGTGCGCAAGGTGGTCCGGCTTGTTTCGCTTGAGACATCCTCGAAACTATGACCTCGGAGATGCCGCGCGAGAGGTGGTCCGGGCCGTTTCGCCTGAGACATCCTCGAATTTCTGAGCTCTGAGATGCCTTGCGCGAGGTGGTCCGGCCCGTCTCGCCTGAGACATCCTCGCGTCTCTGAGCTCTGAGATGCCGTGCGCAAGGTGGTCCGGCTTGTTTCGCACAAGACATCCTCGCGTCTTTGAGCTCCCAGATGCCGCGCAAGAGGTTGTCCAGCCTGAGGGCCCAGAAGACCACATGTTACACCTCCCCCCTGGGACCTTGGGAGCCCGCCTGGGACATCCTCGAATTTCTGAGCTCTGAGATGCCCTGCGCGAGGTGGTCCGGCCCGTCTCGCCTGAGACATCCTCGCAACTCTGAGCTCTGAAATGCCGTGCGCAAGGTGGTCCGGCCTGTTTCGCACAAGGCATTCTCGCAACTCTGAGCTCCCAGATGCCGCGCAAGAGGCGGTCCAGCCTGGGGGCCCAGAAGACCATATGTTACATATCCTCCCTGGGACCCTGGGAGCCCCAGGAGGCGCCAGAGAGCTCCAGGAGGCCGCAGGACGCCCAGGACAGGCCCCAGGGGTCCCCAGGAGATTCCCAGGAGGCTCCCAGGAGGCCCCAGGAGGCCCCCTATCAGAACGTATCAAGTTAGTACGCATCCAGTGCCGATTCGTTGATTTTCCCTGCTCTTGTGGCCCCCCCCTCCATTTTGAGGAGCCCAAACGGCCACATGTTAGATATCCCCCCCTGGGAGCCCCAAGAGGCTTCAGGAAACCCCAGGTGGAGTTCAGGAGGCCACAGGAAGCCCAGGAGGAAGCCCCAGAAGTTCCCCAGGAGGCCCCAGGAGGCACCAGGAGGCCCCCGCAACTCGGAGCTCTGAGACGTCGCGCTCGAGGTGGTCCGGCCCGTTTCGCCTGAGACTTCCTCGCAGCACGTTTCGCCCGAGACACCAGCCCGTTTCGCCTGAGACATCCTCGCAACTCTGAGCTCTGAGATGCTGTGCGCAGGTTGGTCCGGCCCGTTTCGCACAAGACAGTCTCGCAATTCTGAGCTCCCAGATGCCGCGCAAGAGGTGGTCCAGCCTGGGGGCCCAGAAGACCACATGTTACATATCCCCCCTGTGACCCTGGGAGCCCCAGGAGGCCCCAGAGAGCTTCAGGAAGCTGCAGGACGCCCAGGACAGGCCCCAGGGGGGAGCAGGAGATTCCCAGGAAGCTCCCAGGAGGCCCCAGGAGGCCCCCTATCAGAACGTGTCAAGTTAATACACATCCAATGTCGATTCGTTGGTTTTTCCTGCTCTTCTGGCCCCCCCCCCCCCTCATTTTGGGGGGCCCCGACGGCCACATGTTAGATATCCCCCTGGGAGCCCCAAGAGGCTTCAGGAAGCCCCAGGTGGGGTCCAGAAGGCCACAGGAGGCCCAGGAGGAAGCCCCAGGAGGTCACCAGGAGGCCCCAGGAGGCGTCAGGAGGCCCCCGCAACTCGGAGCTCTGAGACGCCGCGCTCGAGGTTGTCTGGCCCGTTTCGCCTGAGACTTCCTCGCAGCACGTTTCGCCCGAGACATCGTCGCAACTCTGGGGTCCGAGATGCCGCGCGCGAGATGGTCCAGCCCGTTACGCCTGAGACATCCTCGCAACTCTGGGCTCCGAGATGCCCTGCGCGAGGTGGTCCGGCCCATCTCGCCTGAGACATCCTCGCAACTCTGAGCTCTGAGATGCCGTGCGCAAGGTTGTCCGGCCCGTTTCGACAAGACATTCTCACAACTCTGAGCTCTCAGATGCTGCGCAAGAGGTGGTCCAGCCTGGGGGCACAGAAGACTACATGTTACATATCCTCCCTGGGACCCTGGGAGCCCCAGGAGGCGCCAGAGAGCTCCAGGAGGCCGCAGGACGCCCAGGACAGGCCCCAGGGGTCCCCAGGAGATTCCCAGGAGGCTCCCAGGAGGCCCCAGGAGGCCCCTTATCAGAACGTGTCAAGTTAATACACATCCGGTGTCGATTCGTTGATTTTTCCTGCTCTTGCGCCCTCCCCCCCCGCCCCTCCATTTTGGGGGGCCCCGACGGCCACATGTTAGATATCCCCCCCTGGGAGCCCCAAGAGGCTTCAGGAAACCCCAGGTGGGGTCCAGGAGGCCACAGGAGGCCCAGGAGGAAGCCCCAGCAGGTCACCAGGAGGTCCCAGGAGGCCCCAGGAGGCCCCCGCAACTCTGAGCTCTGAGACGCCGCGCTCGGGGTGGTCCGGCCCGTTTCGCCTGAGACTTCCTCGCAGCACGTTTCGCCCGAGACATCGTCGCAA